GACCCTGGTCATAAGCAGGCGGCTTTCATGCGCGGCGGCGCGCATGTGCGGCATGCATGAGCAGCACCGCCCCCTGCGCGGCACACATGTGCGGCACCGCCCCCTGCGTGGCACACATGTGCGGCGGCGCCCCCTGCGCGGCACGCATGCACAGTGGCACCCCCTGTGCGGCACGCATGCACAGCAGCGCCTCCATGCGCCGCCCCCTGTGCAGCGCGCATGTATGGCGCTGCCTCCTGACCACCCCCTGCGCGGCACGCATGCGCGCCGACGCCCCCTGCACGCATGCGCGGTGCCACCCCATGCGTCGCCCGCGGCGCACATGCACGGCGGCGCCCCCTGCGCCGGCTGACAGAAAAAAATGGCGGATCGCGTTGTTTGGCAACCCCCGTGAAATGGTCGTTCGACCCCAAATGGGGTCGCGACCCACAGGTTGAGAACTGCTGCCCTAGAAAGATACGGGCTGCTTTTGGTTTTGCACATGTGCATTTTGGTTTTGCACATGTGGGATTTTGACTGCAAATACACTCGGCGTTTAGAACTAAACATACACAGAAAACACCCTTTTGTACCCTAGCTTTTAGCTCCACTCTTGAATTGGTGATATATGTTGCTCACTTGGCATGCGCTCAATAGAACAGTAGATCCAGATGCATGATGACCGAATATTAGAATAGAACTCTGAGTGAAAGGTTCAGCTGAAATAAGCATTTATTTTAGAAATTTGTGATTTCTGTCAGTTGTGCACCAGTATTTTTCCTAAGACAAGCATATAGAGTAAAGAATACTGGGTCATTGATGCCTAGAAAGTAGTCCAGAACCATACTAATTTGGAGCTAGGCCAGCCTGGTTAGGTTAGCAGCCTGGATAAAAAGTTGCTGGCAAGCATGTGTAAAATAGTCTGAGCTCTCCAAAGATAAGGCAGTGTGTTATTCTAATAAATACAGTAAATCCTTTTCCCAGAGACTCCCACCCCTCTCATGAAGTTCCCAGTGGCACCAACCACTCCTTTAACACTTCAGCAACTTCCTTCTGCAAAAGGCAGCTTAACCTTCCCATCATCCCTGAGAGCCAGAACTGACTTGAAGTCCCTGGCTTGCGTCTTACTCCTGTGAACAAGCCAAAATGTAATCAAACAAGAGAAAACAGATGAGACACTTAGAGGGTCCCCCCCCCCTTCAAGAGGTTTCTTTTGCTGTTGATGCTGGGTTATGCGGAAGAAAAGAATGTATGTCAATGGTCTTTAGCCTTTTATAGTTTTAACATACACATCCATCCATGCCTTTAAAAAAATAGATGCTTAGAAGTGTATGTGCTAGGGCTATCGGATCTGAACTGTGGACATCTAGAAGATTTTTATACGGTAGAGAAAAAGAAACAGAAAATTAACTCTTGCTACTGTCTAGTGGTGGCCTGGATTTTTGCAGGTCAGATCTGTCTGTCTGTCTGTCTGTCTGTCTATCTATCTATCTATCTATCTATCTATCTATCTATCTATCTATCATCTATCTTATCTATCTATCTATCTATGTATCATCTATCATTTATTTATCTATTTATCATCTAATCATCTGTCTATATCTATCATCTAATCATCTATCAATCTATTTATCTATATCTATCTATCATCTATCTATTTATCATCTATATTTAGGTATCTATGTATGTATCATCTATCATTTATTTATCTATTTATCATCTAATCATCTGTCTATATCTATTTATCTATCATCTAATCATCTATCAATTTATTTATATCTATCATCTATCTATTTATCATCTATATTTAGGTATCTATCTATCTATCTATCTATCTAATTTACAGTGACAGGGTTGTTTACGGCTAAAAAAATTATGTGTGCTATATGATTTTCCTGCATATCCTACCCTTCTGCTGGTTTTCCACTTGGGTTTGTTTTTCTCTTCTGTGAGTGTGCTTCTCCCTCCCATTTTCTCTTCCTGTGCAGCATGAAGTGAGCAAATCTTTAGTGCTCTTGAACTCTGCTTCCTTACCTCTCTACTTCCCACACGACTGCCACCACATTTCTCACTGCTGTTTAGTGTGTTACTTTCAAGTGAAGATTTTCAAACTGGGAGATTTGTGTGGGGAGAAAACAAATGCGGTGTTCAAGGCAAGCAAGCTGTGCGTTCCCTTTGCTGACGCGTGGAAACATCTGAAGGCTGAGTTTTTCTTTACCCGATTTTTGAGAATTCCTTCCCACAACTTGCATCCACTCGTTTTACCAGTCAAAATAATACATTCACACTCAATTCTCTTTGAGCGCTTATAGAAGCACAGATTCTATAAGATTCTGACTCACAGATACTCAACATTTAATGTATATCCTATAGTTTTAATAGATGTGTCCAGATGGGTAGCTTTTAGCCCTGCCAATCAAAATGCATTAATGAGCTATTGGGTTTTTTTTTTTTTTATTTCAGGGTAGGAAAAAAGATAAGCAGTGGGAACACCTATGGGAAAGATGATATTGCTGTGAAAATCCTTCATACAAGGCAGGGTGGATGAACAAAAATAGGCTTGGAGACAACAGTTGTAGGATACAATTCTTCCTGAAGGGATGATTTGTAGGCTGCCCACATTTCCTTTACTCCAATTCATGCAATAGTCATGTTCAGCACAGGTAAACCCAAAATTGGTTCAAGGTTAGGACAAGACAGGAATAGAATGAAAAATTAATTGCTTGAAGTAGAACTTGATGCTGATTTTTCTTTTCCTTTTTGTGTAGATTTTTTCTTCAAATGTTAAAGGAACTCACATGTGCATGACATATGGTCATATCTACTTCTAGTTCCTTATATCTATCTAATCAAGTACCATTAACACAATCATATCACGTACTGGAACTTTTTTCAAATTTGTTATATTCCAGTGTGAAAAAGATAACAGCCAAGCTTTGGGGGGGAGGCATTCTTTTAAGGAATGCAAAAAGCCCTCAAAAAGGTCTTTTTGTTGCAATAAATGAGTTTTTACAAGAAGTATACATAATAGTTCTTAAAGCCTGCTGTCACTTATTTTGCAATCTAGGCTATTCTGACTCTATTAAATATTTCATTTTCTTTCTTTTTTAAAAAAAATTGGTAATAGTAAATATAGTTTGGTCTCTATAAATGTAGTTTGATGTCTTTAAAGGCCTTCTGCAATGTATCCAGGGCTTCCATAGTTTTAGAAGCTGCTCATCAATGCAGTTTGCAAAATCTGAAATTAGCAAATGATTTAGCTTGTATATACTGCCATTCAATTGTATTAGCTAAGTTATATTCTTTTTGTAACGTTTCAGAGGTTTTTAATGTGCCATTACTTACTACCTGATGAAATATTATTATTTCAGATTCTCCAAATCAAAGTTTTCCAAGCTATTTTTAAACAAGGATTACTTTACCAACATCACATCATACATAGCCCTGATTGTATGGGTAGCTTTTTACTATCACACTGAGTATTTGAATAAATGTGATAATCTAAAACTCTTATACAGGACAGTATTGACCGCAGGTAGTATTGCATTATAGAAATGAACCTCAGTGATCCAGCCATACAGATACTCCAAGCCAGTGGTAGTATTTGGCAGAAAGAGACAACATGACGCACAACCTTTTGGTATGCCTTCTATGTCAAAGGGCCTTTTTCTTTCAATGAGCGATAAGAACTGGGCTCTCACTCCTCCCATATGTTTTTATTTGTTTTTTTGTTTGTTAAATTTATTTGCCAGCCATCTCACCATGGCACTACACTGGGTGGCTTACAATGGTTAAACAGAAAAAAAATGAAAAAACAGATTGTAAACGTAACACTAGCAATGCAATGAAACAACAAAACAGTAAAAGTACAATAATAAGGGTGAAAAAGAAGGGCAGAAGGGGAGCAGGAAGTGCAGGGGGGTGAGGTCAACTAATTAGTCCAGCATCCACCTCCCATGTGATACTTCCCTATTGGGTTCCCGGGCCAACCAATACAGCCAATCTTCAGGCCCTTACAGAAGGATAGAGGCGAACTCACCCCAGAAGGGAGGGGTATTCCAGAGGGCTACAGCATAGAAGGCTCTTCTTCTGAATTCCTCAGCCGGAGTTACTTGACCAACAGGATCTACAGCAGGTGTCCTCTGTCCGCACGAATGTGGCAGGCTTGTCTTAGCACAGGGGTGGGGAACTATGCCCTTTTTATGACTTGTGGACTTCAACTCCCAGAATTCCATCACTGTGTGATGAACCATAATGTGCTGTCTGACGTCCGACAACTCAGGTGCTATATAAATTATTATTATATGATATATTGTATTAATTATATTATATATATTATGTATTACTACATATTAAGGTCGAGCAGAGTGGTGGCCTAGTGTTGAAGATGCTCACTTTCCACTTGGAAGTTTGAGAGCTCAATCCTATGTAGCAACAGATGTTTCTCCTAGGATGCAAAGAAAAAATATTTGCTGCGAACTCTCTATGTGGTGTCAGGAAGGGCATCCAGCCAGTAAATGCTCAGCTCCATCCAGTCACCCTGACTCAACCCCAAATTAAGGGATTACAGGGTCGTAAAAAGAAAACATTATTATATGTTAAGGTGCTGGCTCGGGAATTCTGGGAGTTGAAGTCCACAAGTCATAAAAGGGCCATAGTTTTAATTATATATATATATATATATATATATATATATATATATATATATATATATATATATATATATATATACACAACAACGAATTACAACAGAAATTCTGGTCCAAATTGTGGCTGTAAGTCGAGGACTACCTATAGGCCTTTGATAAGCAGCTATTTGTTTGAGTGAACAGAAAACTGTGGTGGGTTTTGGAAAGGTTGTCTTGTCATTCTTCTCAACTAGAGAAGCAATTGCCTAGTTCCTGGAGTTAAGCTGACAACTCTCCCCTTTGTGTGATGCCCAGAAACTATAATGAAGAACTTCCGTTCTTCAAGTGGTCATCTGTGCATTCACAACTCCTCCCCTATGTTCCTTTCTTCAGATGCTTACTCATCAGTCTTGGGGAGCTGGGGGGAATGTTGGAACCCCATCTTGATGCATGTGCAGAGGGCCAGGCTTCCTTCCAAAAGTCTTTGCTGTAGAAGAAGAATCACAGTTAGAGGTAAGAAAACCTGTTAATTGTAGCACCAAAGGAGAAAAGCAACAGTGGTGCCTTTATGAACTCAGGCAGTTGCCACTAAAATGTCCTGGAAGTAATGTAGCATTTGCTCAGGAAGAGAGTGGGTCATTCTAAAGAATCTGCTGTCACAAGAGAGCCACAGAGAGCTGGTGGGGAAGAGTGAGGCTTTACTTGATTGTATAAAATATTTTGTTCCTCTCTCTTTCCCATCTACTTGTTTGGAACCAAATTAACTGAGAGAGGTAAAAGCAGTTAATGCCATATGCCCTCCCTCAAGTTCTTCTCAAGTTTCCTCCTATCTGGTATCCCTTATGTGGTGTTAAGCTGCAATGTACATAGTGCCTGTCTTAGTTCCTTAACCATTTTGGATGCAACCTGCCTATATTTGTGAGCAGATTACTCATCCTTGGCATCACTGTCCATATCACCTTGCCATTCACCACAGCCACAATGTTCAGTTCTACCAAGCAAACACTTAACAAAAGGTTCTCAACATCCCCCATGTTTTAAGAAGAAGCTCCCATGAATGCACTCTAACTCCTCCTTGGCCATTTTGCTGAGTGCCACTTCGTACGCCACAAAAGCAGAGAGGACCCTGGTATTGTTATCAGCAGTAGTCAGTAGTCCACTATGGAGGTCCCCAACCCCCGGGCCACAGCCCGCAAGTGGACTGCAGCCTGTTTGTAATTAGGCCATGTGATCAATGTGCGTACATACATACAGCTCCATTTTGCACGAGCAGCAAGCGGGTACCTACTCAAATGGAAGCATTCCCCCCTCACCCCTCTGGGCTGCCAAGCAGGAAAGGTTGGGGACTACTGGTCTACTAGTACAGGTAGTCCTTGACTTACAACCTTTTGTTTAATGGCAGTTCAAAATTACAGTAGTTTCCTCTGAAAGAGTCATGACCTAAATTCACTTAATGGTCATCGTACTGCTCCCGCTATAGTCACATGATCACACAGTTCAGGTGCTTGGCAACAATCTCACCTTTACATCCGGTTGTAGCATCCTGCGGTCACATGATCGTGATTTGCAATGTCCTGGCCCCAAAAAAAAACGAACAAAAAAAGCGATTAGGAAAGCTGAATTCGCTTAATGACTGAGAATTTGCCCAAATTACTACTTTTTGACACTATACTTATAAGAAGCCTTCTGTTTACAATAAGAACTCTTCTTCTTAAATTGTCTATTGAACTACATACAAGAGCCTAGTTCCCTATCGATTAGCATCTAGACTTACAGCAATTTTATATGTTTAACTGAAGTATATTAAAAGAAAGAAGGAAATTTATGATAGCTTATTATGGGGAATGTTTTGATGCTAAATGTGAGCCAAAGTAACCACAAATTGTTGGCTGTCATCTGCTTCTGCAGAGGAAATGTTAGCAGCATATTGTACTGCAATAATATATCATCTTTGTTTCTCATATGGTAAATCCTAGAGTTTCCAGTAAAAGTATAGATACTTAATTCCTCTATTTTTTCTTAACAGATGGATTGAGCCAACATCCTGAGTATCTGTCAGTATGTTTTATGTATCTCCAAATTACAATCTGTGAGCAACATATTATTGCTTATCCCACCTTTATTACTTTATAAGTAATTTAAGATGGAGAAAATACTTACTACTTCTTCCTCCTCCTGTTTTCTCCCTTTGAGGTGGATTGGGCTGAGAGAGAGTGACAAACCCAAGGTCATTCAGATGGCTTGCATGCCTAAGATGGGACTGAAATTCAGTCTCCTGGTTTCTAAGCCAGCTCCTTAACATGTAATAATATTCCCTTTTTACGACCCTATAATCCCTTAATTCGGGATAGAGTTGGCGTGACTGGATGGAGCTGAACATTTACTGGCTGGATGCCCTTCCTGACACCACACACAGAGCAGATATTTTTTCTTTGCACCCTAGGAGAGAGAAACATCCACCCCTACCTAGGATTTTGCTCTTGATCTTCCAAGCGGAAGGCGAGCATCTTCACCACTAGGCCATTATTCTTCTCGGACCTCAATTTGTAATAATATATATAATTTTACAATATAGTAAATAATAATTTATATAACACCCAGAATTGTCGGAAGTCGGGCAGCCCATTATGGTTCGTCACAGAGTCAGCCTGATATTTAGACTGGATTTGGCATTTTGATCCACCTATCAAATTTTTCCCAAGAACTGTCCCAATAGACAGATGTTATTATCAGTCTATTTTAAAATATCATCACAGGATGCAAACAGTTCCAGGTAAAGCTACCTTTTGCAATTGACCGATGGTGATTTTGTCAATGCTTATGGCATTCATTGCTGTTATTATTATGTACACAACAGTGAAACAACTCTTTAGCTGATGTTGGCCTTCACATGCATTGAGTTATTCCCAACAACTTGGGATGTCGTAAAGTATCGGCATAACATATGCGTGAATCCAAGCAGTGTTACCTTTTGTAATTGAGAAGTGGGGAGTGTTGTCCAAGATTTCTTGATATGGCACCCAGTGTGCCAATAACCATTAGGACCATTGTGGCTGGTTTATGTTTCTGCTTTGATTTTCAGACCTCGATATTATTATTGTGTACCTTGGAACAATGAGTAATAAAGATTAAAAAATAAATGGGAAAAAATTAAGATGTATAAACACGGATAGAAAGATACTGAGTAGTACGTGTCCTTTTACCAGGAGTGAATATTTGTTAAAAGTAGTGAACACAAATGCAGGGATATGGAGTGCTTAATAAGCATGCATAATAAAAAAAGAGATTAGGTCAAAAATGAATGGATTAAATATAAAAGTTGAGTAATAATGTACAAGAGGAGCAGTATGAAAAGTCAGATTGCTCGTGCAGAGAGAACAGATGTGGATGCACAAATTGTGAATGGGTCGACAAGAAGGGAAAGCCCCCAAATTGTGATTGGGCAGAGTTTATGGGATCCCCAGAGAGAATAAGATGTGATGATTTAAGAACAAAAGGGTAATGTATGAAGCAGCATATGATTGTGGTGGTGGAAGCAAGGATAGAAAGGTATGGAAAAAAATATATACAGTGAACAGTATTTGTATAAATTAGTTCAAACTATTTATCCTTTCGTTTTTCTCAACATTTTTAAATTTTGTTTGGCTTGCTGATTCTTACTCCCTTCCTGCACTTTGCATATCGCTGCTTCTCCTAAACAGGTATAGTGTGTTAACAGCTATCTATAAACGGAACTGAGCCGGCAGCTCACTATGGAGGATGTGTCTGTTCTAACATACTCTTCAGCTGGTCCAGCAAGCCTTCTACAGACTCAACACTCCTCCTTCCAACAGAATGTAGAAAAAGAAATTTAAACATCTTCATGGTCACCTTTTCTCTCTCCTCAACGATGGGAAGTGCAGCCTTTTCTGTTCATTCTTGTGTGCCTTTCTCTTCATTCTTGGACTTTACTCCTTACTCAGATTTTGGGATAACGTAACGGTGTGGATGGGTGTAATCAAACTTCCTGCTTTCAATTTGTATTGGAGGAGATTTCTGGTGTGTGTCGGCTTTGGCTTTATTATTTCTGGAGGTTGGAAAAACAGACCCACCACGGGGGCATTTGGCCATGATGTATCAGAGCTGCACCATGGGTTTGAGAGTTTTGACCAACCAAATGTCCCCTATCATTCTTGTTTTAGGAAAAGAAGGAAGGTAGAGGACTGCCACTCTGGATATGTAACCTCTAGTCAAAAGATGCGAATAAAATTGTGGTCAGCAAAGCCTATTTTCTCTAGGCCACCTTAGACTTTGCCTTTTCAGATTGTCCTGTTGTTATGAATTAATCCCTCCTTCCCAATCCTCTAATCCAGAGGTCCCCAACCTTTTGGGCCTCAGGGACCAGTTCCGGGGAGAGAGGTTTTTCTGTGGACTGGAGGGTGCGTGGTTTTGTATGTTGCCTGCATCCCGCGGATAGGGGTTTGCTTGTTTTGTGCGGACTGGTAGCTAGCATGCCGTGGCCCAGTACTGGTCCACAGACCTGGGGTTGGGGACCCCTGCTGCAATCCATGGTATGTATTATTAAAATGGCACTTTTGGGGGGGGGAAGTGGATAGGATAAGGATAAGTTACCTTATCCTATCCTATCAAAGTCTGTTAAACATGCATTCTTTGGAGGGCTGACACCAAAGTGTGGGCATCAGTGTGGTTTACTAATTATAGACTATATCAGCAGAGAAAGAATTTCCTGGCTCTCTCTCCAAAAGTGTTGGGATCACAGCTCATGGGATTCCTAAGCAGAGGACACAATCTATGTCACTGCTGTTTTGATGCCATAATTTAGCTGAACCCTTGGCTCTGTTCCATAATCTGTTTGGCTTCTCCCATGACTTGCCTTTTGGTTACCATATCCAAGTCCCCCAAAACATGTTTAGAAGGCAGATGAGCATCATAATGAATGGTGAACTTCAATTCTGGAAGCCTGGATTTTAACTCTCTACTGAATTCTGGCATTCACTGGTTATTCTTGCCTGCCTCAGCTGGAGGGCAATTTTAGGGAAAATAGAAAGGAAACAAATCTTTCTGATATTTGAATGTGTTTTAAAGCTTTTTTTTTTTTTTTTTTGCTATTTGGAGCTGTATCTGCTATCTTTTTCTCTGACAATACTTCACCTGATTAATGGCACTATTAGTTCACTGTTATGACCCATTCTTATATTTTATTCAGAAGGGTGTTTTACTTTCATTCTTTCCTATAAAATACAAGTACAGTATTTATTCTCCTTAAATCAGTGGTTCTCAATCTTTTTAATGCCGCGACCCCCCTCCCAACCGGTCGTAAGTCGAGGACTACTCAACCGGTCGTAAGTCGAGGACTACTCAACTGGTGCAGCACCGTTTGCAGAATGGGACTTTTGGCGGGCTCAGCAGGGCAGAGACAGCCTGGACAATTCCTATTGGCTTTTGAAAGCCAATAGAATTAGACTCTATTCAAGAGAGTCTATTCTATTGGCTTTCAAAAGCCAATAGAATAAAAGGGAGTAGCACAGCTAAGGAAAAGGGGGAAAAAATGGCGGACTGCGTTGTTTGGCGACCCCCGTGAAATGGTCGTTTGACCCCAAATGGGGTCCCGACCCACAGGTTGAGAACCACTGCCTTAAATTAACTTAGAAAAACTTTAAGAAGCTGCTCGTTTTCCTCAGTACATTCAGAACAAGGCAAACGTTTACAAGGGGAAGGGTTTCAAGGAGACTTGGCCCAGCCTGAAGTCTTTTGAGACTAATCTGCAGTTCACATAGGGCGATACTAAACAGAAACCTGTTTTCATACACCTTTGCTCTGGTTCCAGAGCAGAGCAAGCACTTGTGAGTTTTAAAAAGAGAGTTGTTGGTCTAGGATCTTTACTTAAGTACCCTTGGAGATAAGGTTCATCACTTGAAAGCAAAATGACGTTAGGTGCCTTATGGATTGTTAGAAATGCTTTAGTGTGGGCTGTGGTGTAATTTCAGAAATGTAGAAAATGCCATTCCAAATTAAAATATAAATGGTTCTTTCATGACTCATGAAATGCAATGCATAGGATGCTATTGTGCATATTTAAAAAGAGGCCCATGTTACAGTATTGTATTAGACCTCAAAATCTGACTATAAGCACCTAAATAGCAACGACATACAAAGCGTGAGCATATATGAGATTTAAAAGAAACAGTAAAAGAATTGAAAAACCATCAGAACTGAAAGAACATTGACAGCTGCAAGCGTTAAGTAAATTAGTTAAATAATTTTGTCTCTTCCTAAAGGCATTGAAGTAGACCTTAGGACAGGACAGAGATAATTTGGAAAAGATAATTGGGTGGTTGGAGGAGTGTAAACATAGCAATTGTTTGTAACTGTTTAAAGCAGCCATATCCTCTTAGAAATCATGTGACTGTTTTGCACCTGCCTCGTGATCCCAGGAAAAGATGCAGTTGCTTTCAAGAGTTGCAGCCATGTGCTTAATTCACAGCTCCATTGAATCGTGCTAGTAGATGCTGCTTTCCCAGATTTTTCTGAGAAAGACATTTGGGGTGATGGTGCAGTGGCTAGAATGCAATATTGCAGCTAACTCTGCTCATAGCCAGGAGTTTGATCCTGACCAGCTCCAGGTAGACTCAGCCTTCCATCCTTCTGAAATCAGTAAAATGAGGGCCCAGATTGTTGGTAGCAATAGGCTGACTCTGTAGAAATGATAATAATGATGATAATGATAATAACAAAAACAACAACAATAAAGTTGGAAGGGACCTTGGAGGTCATCTAGTCCAACCCCTTGCTCAGGCAGGAAACCCTATACCATTTCAGACAAATGGCTGTCCAGTTTCTTCTTAAAAACTTCCAGTGTTGGAGCATTCACAGTTTCTGGAGGCAGGTTGTTCCACCGGTTAATTGTTTTGGCTGTCAGGAAGTTTCTCCTTAGTTCTAGGTTGCTTCTCTCCTTGATTAGTTTCCATCCATTGCTTCTTGTCCTGCCTTCACGTGCTTTGGAAAATAGCTTGACTCCCTCTTCTTTGTAGCAGCCCCTGAGATATTGGAAGACTGCTATCATGTCCCCCCTCGTCCTTCTCTTCATTAAACTAGACAAAGTAAACTGCGTAGACCAGGGCTTTTTAACCAGTGGTACGGGTACCACCTGTGGTACATTGGCACCTGGCAGGTGGTACGCGACCATCCTAGAAAAGTGGTAGCGGGGGAGGGGAATGAGCTGAACCGGTGGCAGCACCGCACAAGCCTGAGTGAGAGATGGCTGGAGCTGCCTTCTGTCAGGGCTCAGCGGAAGTGCCAGGATCAATGCTTCTTCGGGATTGTCAGGGCTCAGTGGAAGCGCCAGGATCAGCGCCAGGCTCCAGCTGGAGCTCGGTGCTGCTCCTGGTGCTTCTGCTGAGCCCTGAAGAAGCACCAATCAGCTGGAAAGCAGCACTGATCCTGGCACTTCTGCTGAGCCCAGAAGAAGCGCCCATCAGCTGGAATGTTGCAGCATCTCTAGGGTCTTGTGATTTACATTCAGATGCTTGGCAACCGATTCATATTTATGACGGTCACAGTTTCCAAAACCTGCTGCAACCACCCAGCAGACGGGGGGAATAAAAACCAAACACCCCCCCTACCTCACCCCCGTTGCCAATCCTCAACAAAAATGCTCACAACAATGAAACCTCGGACAGGAGGAAGAGCGCCACCGGGAGGGCAGGCAGGTATCTTGCTCGTCTGTGGCTTGGGGCGCACTTTTTTCAGTGCCCATTGTAACTTCGAACAGTCACTAAGCGAATTGTTGTAAGTCGAGGACTACCTGTACTTTATCACTTACTCTTTTTTTTTCTTTTTGGTCATCAAATTTTTGACACCTTGCTAGGCGACTGGTAGTACTTGGATATTGCCATATCCTAAAAGTGGTACAATGGGTGAAAAGATTGAAAAGCCCTGGCTTAGACGGTACTGGAAAAACACTATAGAGCAATATATAAGTCTAAGTGATATTGCTGGTCAGCATGCTGTATTAAAATAGTTCTATCTTTTCTCTCTGCCTGTCTTAGATCTTTTGCTGGGAGCACATACTTTGTGTTACAAAACTCAAGCATTTTGTATGGACCTCCCACTAGTTTCAGTAGTTTTTCTCTCAGATTCATAATAAGGCCAATTGCAATTTGTTCTATTCTGGGTTCTTAGATTTATAAACTCCCCATTCTAAACAGGGATTTTACATGTTCTGATTAAATGTTTCCTTAAAAATTAACAAAAGATGAAGGAAACATTGTACAGGAGCAGAGCAAAATTTCAGGAGGAAGCTGTAAAAAAGCCTTAGCGAAAAACATAAACCAGTTTAAAACTGATGTTATTTGCAGATTTGTAAGGAGGGAATGAGGAGGGATACAGCCAAATATTGAGTTGTATACTATTATTGAATGCCTACTGAATATAAGAAGCATGCCTTTGTGTTATCGGTAGAAATTTCCATTTTTACTTTAGGTAATCTTGACTTACAACCATAATTGGGACTTGAATTAAGCAAAGCAGTCATTAAGTGAGTCACATCTGAATTTACATGGTTATTAAGCAAATCACTGCAGTTATTAAGTAAATCACTGCAATTGTTAAGTGACTCACGTAGTCAATAAGCGAAACTGGTTTCCCGCATTAACTTTTCTTGTTGGAAGCCAGTGATCATGGGACCCCAGAATGGTGCATCCATCGTAAATACATGCCAGTTGCTAAGCATCCAAATTTTGATCACATGACTGTGGAGATAACTGTGACAGTCATATATGCAAGGACCAGTCATAAGTTACTTTTTTTTCCCCCAGTGCCACTGTAACTTTGAATGGTTGCTAAACAAATGTTTATAAGTCAGAGACTACCTGAATTCCCTTTTTATCTGGAAATGGAAATTGAAGTGTTTTACGTTATATAGCAGTTTTACATATCATATATCACTCTTATTAATTCCAGGATTAAATTTTGGCAATTTAATTTTCTTTGCCTTCATTTTAAGGGAAGAAATTTAAGTGAGACAACTAGACTCGAGGGAAGAAAGCAATGTATTAAACTGCAATTTAGACTTAAGGCCCGTTAAAATCTCTGTGCGACCTTGCTTTGCCCTATACTCGCACAATAAATAAATGAGAGAATCTAGTTTAAGGACTTGAATTTTGCTTGTGTGAATGCCATCTAATCTATACCCCTTTGTATTACAAAGACTTAAGAAGTGTGGCCTAAAACTTTCAAAAGGATAGGATTCATGTCCCAAATATCAAGGTGTGTTTTTATGGTGCTATAGAATTAATTGTAGCGTTATGATCTAGATGAGCCAAGAAAAGAAGCCACAATCCAACTATAGTTTATTATCCATTCCCTGAATGAATGAAGTACGGACTAGCAAGCTTTTTATTCATTGGTGACCTTAATAGGGTCATGCAAATCACTTTAGAGTGTTTCTTCCCTTTTGGTGATTTTACAGATTGTAATTTTATAATTCCTCCTTTTGTTTTCCACTTTTGTTTGCTTCAATTAAAAGTCCTTTTTGTTTGTGGCTATATTGATTTGACTAAATTTGATTGCTTGACATTCAGCTTAGAGTTCTAAAGCAGTGTTTCTCAATCTTGACAATTTTAAGGCATGTGGACTTCAACTCCCAGAATTCCACAGCCAGCATTGCTGGCTGTGGAATTCTGGGAGTTGAAGTCCACATGCCTTAAAATTGTCAAGGTTGAGAAACTGTTCTAAAGGATGAAGTTTCTAAATCTCTTATCTTTCTCTTTTTGGAAGTTGTGGTATTTTTGATCAGCCCTTGTAGCCTCCCACCTTAATTATATCTATATTCCCACGTACAGTATACACTTTATAAATAAAGCTTGCCTGCTGATGCTGCATAGACCTTTTCCCTTCCTCATTGGAGTAAAATCTGCAAAAAACACATTTCATGATGGGATATTCCCTTTAGTGAATCTGGAATAAGACTGATGTTTTCCCTGCTGCAGGCGGAAGCTACTTTGTTTTCAATCTACGTACAGTATTTTCCATTCTTGCACATTATTTCATACAGGAAATCTTCAACTTACAGCCCCGGTTGGAACCAGAATCTTCATTGCTAAGCAAGGCAGTTGTTAAGGGAGCCGTGCACAATTTTATGACCTTTTTTGCCACGGTTGTTGAGTGAATCACTGCAGCTGTTAAGTGAATTACGCAGTTATTAAGCAAATGCAGCTTCCCCCATTGACTTCACTCATCAGAAGTTAGCTGGGAAGGTTCAAATGGAAATCGCATGACTGCAGGATGCTGCAACCATCATAAACAAAATGCCTGTTGCCAAGCGCCCAAGTTTTGACCATGTGACTGCGATGCATGCACCGGTTGTAAGTCACCTTTTTAGTGCTGCTGTAGCTTCTGATGGTCCCTAAATGAGTGGTTGTTAAGTCAAGGACTACCTGTAAAGACAGGGCACCCAGATCTAGGCTGCCAGGATTGATCTTATCATTCAGTGGCAAGAAAGATACAGAAAATGCTGGAAAAACTCCTAACTCTTTCCTTCTATCTAAATGACCATCCTCATTTTTTGCAGCCCAAATCCAGTATCCCTAAAAGAAAACGTACATGTCCATACTTTAAAAAAGCATTATATTATATGTACTTGGACTTTCCTTTTGGTAGCAACTAGACCAGGAGTAGGTAACCTTGGCTCTTTTATGACTCGTGGACTTCAACTCCCAGAATTCCTGAGCCAGCCATGCTGAGGGGAAAGGGAGAGGTTTCCAAGCTGAGCCATGCTGGCTTAGGAATTCTGGGAGTTCAAGTCCACGAGTCATAAAAGAGCCAAGGTTGCCTACCCCTAAACTAGACTTACCTTAAAGTAAAAAAAAAAAAGGGGGGGGGAAATGACATCTAAAGAAAATTCTAATTTCCACCTGAAAGCTAAGTTATGAGGCAGTATTCTGCATGCTTTAGGTTCTGTGCCATGCCTGGTAGAATTATCTGGGCTAAAACCAGCAACTTCAACCCAAAAATAAACTTGAAGCAAATAATGTTAATACTAGCATAAACAGTTCCAGATTACAATGTGGCTGCAATAATCTTTAGTATTTCAGTAGGTGGCAGCACTTGGCTGATCTTATCTATGTTTTGAAGCTAAGCCAGGTTGGACTTGGTTAGCATGTGGAATACTTAGAAAATCCCAGGGCTTTAGGCTAGATCAAAAGTTGAAAGAACATCCCAACAGAAGGCAACGATAAGCTATTTCTTTTTTTTACTGCTGCCAAGAACACTCTATAACCATGAGACAAACTCAACTTGAAAGAGGCTCCATCTTTTTGATTTGCCCTAATGGTAGTTTCCAGATCCACTTCAAGAGCACATTCATTTTTAATACACTGAAATAGGTGATTCTGTTTATTATAATGTGGATAAAGATGGACACCTGCACAGTTGGCTCATGAGATGAAGTTGATAAAATTCACTGTGTGCTACTCCTCATATTACATACTGTACTTTACATTTAAAAGTATGTTTAAGCACCTTTTTCGACCCAGTTTGCCCAAGCAGCAAATGAATACAATAAAATCATAATGTGGACTGTCAACTAGGTTAAAACAATAAATCAACCTATAGTAACCAACTTTCCTAGAATCAAATAAAAAAAAATTAGCAGAGCAGTATTGATCTAGTGTTGCAGTTAAATTACAACTCAGTTCCTTCTTTGTCCTCCTTCTCTTCCCTTTTTGATGTTAATGTTAAACAGGTTTTTACTTTCCCTTGCAGATTCTTCCTATTCAGAACCTCCAGATGTCCAGCAACAACTGAATCACTATCAGTCAGCAGCCTTGGCAAGGAACAATAACAACATTAGCCCCGTCTCACTTTCTGGAGGAGACCAGAAAGCTGAAGCCATCCTTAACTGTGAATTTTGTGAATTCACTTCGGGTTACATTCAAAGCATTCGGCGTCATTATCGTGACAAACATGGAGGGAAGAAGTTATTCAAGTGCAAAGACTGTTCATTTTACACCGGCTTTAAGTAAGTTGCTACATTGGAGAGCTAAGGGTTGTTCTGTTGCCAATTAAGCAGCTATTCATTTAATCCTGGCAATTTATGATGGTCTGTTGGAATGACCTTGGGAGACAGGAGGAAGAACTGCAATCTAGACAAGATTCTGGTAAGTGAGTCCAAAGAAGGGATACGTCAAGGATGAAACTTTGGCAGTTACGGACCTCTGTGTCTCAACTTGCCGCTAGATTAAAGGGAGGAGGTTAAATAGAGAAACGAAACTTCTGCGACTCAGCTGAAGACCGTTAGAGTCTGAAACTGTTTCAAGGACACCAGTATAGGTGTGGATTTGAAGCAGACAGTTTCCATAACAAAGTGAACTTTTTTATATGGACTAAGAAAGATGTTGAGGGTTTGGCTGGGAAAATTATTGTTTAAGTCTATGAATTGGTGTTGGAAGCTCAGAGTTAGTTTTGCTTCAACATTACCTTGCAGTATATTCAATAAACAAGTAAGATTTTTGGAGGCGGAATGAACCTGGAGTTTTATTTTGGCTGGATGTTGGCAGGATAGGCTGGAGAAAGCATGTCGGAAGGGAGACTCTACCTAGTCTTCAGGAGAGTAAAAAAGGTTTTCAGACTTGCAAATTTCTATTACTCTAACCTAAAATAAAGGCAGTGTAAGTGCTGGTGGTTGGTGCTTCTTGTCTGGACTACCTGAAGGGCTGACACAATTTATGTCAGTAGACCTGCATTTCCTATATTTCTGTATTGTGGCTTAAGCTTCCATATCTTGATGTTTATGTCCTATTTACATAGTGGAAAAAAAGCATCTTCTTGTACTAGATACTGCACACTCACCCACTTATTAGCAGTACTAAGATATAACATGCTTCTAGTCTTTGTCATGGAAAAGTAGATGAAAATATTTGCTTTATTGTACAGCCCAATAAATATCAGCTCAGAACGATATCACTGGATTCACTCCTAGATCAGTGACTAAGGATTGCAATCTCAGTTTTAGAGTTTGAGACAAGATGGTAGAAATGAGTAAGGGAACTGTAACCTATATTGCTAGAAATGCCTACAAAAATTTGAACACTTAATCCAGGGTCTTCAAACTTGGCCCTTTTATGACTTGTGGACTTCAATTCCCAGAATTCCTCAGCCAGCATGCCTGGCTGAGGAATTCTGGGAATTGAAGTCCACAAGTCATAAAAGGGCCAGGTTTAAAGACCCCTGACTTAATCCAATAGACTACATATTGTTCGAATTATAACTTCACTGTTTCCCATGTGAAGTGAAGTGTGGGAAACAGCAAGCTGCTTTCTCCTTTCTCCTGAAATCCACTTTGTCATTGAGGAAGTTGATCCTATAAGGGCTGTTTCCCCTCAAAACATTCAAATGTCTTTAAATAGTTGTGCTTGTTATGTAGGGTCCTTGGGATAGTTCTGTCTGTAATCCAGGAGAACAATCCAGTGGGGCAGTCCAAGCTGCAGAAGGCTATGTGCTTATGGATAATTGGATAAATATCTCTTATCAGCTGAAATGTGCATAAGACAGAAAACCTATTGGTATGTGAAGTGTGCACATTTTTGCAAATAGCTGCATAGGCTGTTCTCCTGTGGTCTTCACTCTAACATGGTCTTCACTCTGCCACATAAAGATTGCGCTTGTGTCATGTAGAAATATAGCCTCGGCGCTGACGGTGCTGCACTTGTACATTTGCAGCTTCAGTAAAGTTATGTGTGCATAGGCTGAGAGGGCCTGTGCAAACACAGCTCTTCCAGCAGTGCTTTGCCTTATCTCTTTAGTTAAAGTTGACATTTGGCCTGAAGGGAGAAGAATTTAGAAACCTGCCTTGGGGAATATAATAGTGAATTCTTATTGACTTCCTGCAGGGTTCTGCAGTCAGCAAAATCTTCCTTCCCTTAAGTTTTGAATTCCCTAAAGTTGGTTTTTAATGCTTTTCAAAAGAAACTTCACAAATGGTTCCTGGAGTTTTTGGATAAAAACTTTGAAAATGGAGTTACACTCTACTTTGTGTGTGTCCTTTAGAAGGAACGATGTATTATATAATTTATATGATCCTGCAGTTACTTTTGCAAGAATAGATCCTAGTTCAGATACAGTCTGTGTACAAAGTACTGGGTAATCCGTACATTGAGAACAACATTTTCTGCATCCCGATACTTTTTTGTGCATAAACACATTGACAACCATGTGAGGTATGTACGGATATCTCAATCAGGGGGATGTGGATTTCCCATTCTGTTTGGATGGATGTGGATGGATGGATTGATATTATGAGTTAGTGGATAAGTTTCCTATTTCGAGATGAATTCCTTTATTTCCTTAAAATGCCTTTCTATGGCCATGCTGTACATATCCAACCTGTTCCCTTTGGAATACATGCTGGTTATCTATACATGCTTTAAATACATTTGAAATTGGAGCCAATGTAACATTGATCTAGGGCAGAGGTAGGCAACCTTGGCTCTTTTATGACTCGTGGACTTCAACTTCCAGAATTTCAGAGCCAGCATGGCTCAGGTTGGAAACCTCTCCCTTTCCCCTCAGCATGGCTGGCTCAGGAATTCTGGGAGTTGAAGTCCATGAGTCATAAAAGAGCCAAGGTTACCTACCCCTGATCTAGGGCAGTGTTTCCCAAACTTGACAATTTTAAGGCATGTGGACTTCAACTCCCAGAATTCTGGCTGTGGAATTCTGGGAGTTGAAGTCCTCATGCCTTAAAATTGTCAAGTTTGGGAAACACTGATCTAGGGAGTGCAGGTAGTCCTTGACTTACAACAGTTCATTTAGTGACCGTTCAGTGTTACAACGGCACTGGAAATCATGATTTATGACCTGTTTTCACAGTTACGACCTTTGCAAGCATCCCGATGATCGTGTGATCAAAATTCAGATGCTTGGTTCATGTTTATGACGATTGCAATGTCCCAGGATCATGTGATCACCTTTTGTAACTTTCTCACAAGAAAAGTCAATGGGGAAGCCAGATTCACTTAACAGCCAGGTCACTAACTTATCAACTGCAGAGATTCACTTAACAACAAGAAAGGTTGTAAAATAAATGGGACAAAACTCACTTAACAAATACCTCACTTAACAACAGAAATTGTGGTCGTAAGGCAAGGACTACCTGTATTCAAATGTTCATTAACATAATCCTAATTAGGCTTAATCTGTATTAATATTGGTTAACATAACATTTATTCCTACCTAAAAAAAAGGGAGCAAAGAGATCAAGTAAAAATGTGGCTGAGTTCATTCATCAGCTAAGCTATAGTTTACGTTCATTTTGGTTTGATGAATAAAAAAAAAGATAATTGTACTAAGCCATAAACCATGGTTTACAAAATAATGTCTGAGTTGACACAAACCATTTTTGTTTAACTTGAGTCAGACCTAGCTTTTATTTGTATCAGTTCCTTAAGTCGGAGAAATTTGTCTTGGCAAATTTGTATAGCATGCCTCTAAATGTTGATGTCTATAGCTTCTGTCACAAAAAAAAAAAAATATTACTCAAAGGTTAAGGTTCTCCCCACTTATCTGAGCTTGTGTACTACTCTTTGTGTTTGTAGATCTGCTTTTACTATGCATATGGAAGCGGGGCATTCAGCAGTTCCAGAGGAAGGACCCAAAGATCTCCGTTGTCCTCTCTGTCTCTACCACACCAAATATAAACGGAATATGATTGACCATATTGTCCTTCATAGAGGTAAAGAACTTTACAAGAATGTATCAGTGACCTTGCAAGGTCTTTGCGTGTGGCTCCTCATTACTCACTGGGAAACATGGTGCCTAGGAGAGTACAAGAATTGCAACATCCACAATCGCTTATCAATTTTCAGCATGCAGATAATATAGGGAGGGCATAAGCATGTGGCTTAAAGCTGGGTTGTTTTTTTTTAATGCTTTAGATCAGAGGTGGGGAACGTTGGCCCCTGTATGACTTGTGGACTTCAATTCCCAGAATTCCTGAGCCAGTATGGCTGGCTCAGGAATTCTGGGCGTTGAAGTCCACAAGTAATATGGCTGGCTCAGGAATTCTGGGAGTTGAAGTCCACAAGTAATATGGCTGGCTCAGGAATTCTGGGAGTTGAAGTCCACAATTCATAAAAGGACCATCGTTTCCCCACTCCTGCACTAGATCCTCCTCTGACTATCATTGCTAAAAGCCATTCTGAGACAGGAATCACATGGAAACATAATATTTTTTTAAAAAAAAAAAAAACTAAGAAAGCTTCCAAAACCCTCGTTGGAAGTCTAGAAATGAAAGAAGGCCATTGTGGCTATCAGCCTTCAAAAGGTTGCTTATTCATGGGATAAATAGAAATGTGCAGAAGAAGAAGTGAGCCTGATTTGCTGCCATCCGTAACTCAGTGGTTGCCACATTTGTACTTGCGACAAAGACTGTCATTATAAGCTCTGCGGATGTGTGCCTATCAGAGAAATGCTCACGCGATCCTGGTTCCCGTATCACCTTAGGCCTAGGTTGTCTTTCTCTGCCTGGCATCAGATCTTACCTAGTCTTTACAGTGTTGGTAGCATTTAGCATGCTGAAAAGGCAAAATAATATCTGATTCTCTTGGCTACAGATTTATATGCTCTGAAAAGACAGCTGCTTAGAGTCCTCTTGGCTGGGAACCTTGCCCATAGTTATTAGCCTTGATGCTTTGAGATGGTCTGTTGGCTATCGAAACCACATATCCATGTGGTGGGGTGGAATTCTTCCTTATTGCATGCTGAGCAGCGTTCCTCAGCAGGGTAGTGGCACCAAAGCAATGAGTAGCATGTGCCATCTCTCCAGGGGAAGATATTTTTCCTTTTTTGTGTTTCTGTTTGCAACTTACACGGTGGCTTGCCACTTCTTTTTAAGCTTCTGCTGCTTCTGAGAATTTGAACGGGGGAGGCAGGAAAAAGCCAGAGCTTCTTCTGTAGTCATTTTCTCTGAATGTAGGGGAAGACCAGACTAATGACTTTGACAGATGCCCTTTTGATAGCCTCCAAAAAAAGGGTGGGGGAATCTCTTTGGTGTTCAGATGCATGCAGCAGAATCCTGAAGCAGAAGTTATAGAAACACTTGGTGTTCCAGTTGAGCTTTAGGCCTGGGGGAGTTACGGGGCCGTGTAGCCTGATCCTGTTGGTTTTCCATGTTTGCAAAAAGGCTTTTGAAGATTAAGTGTGGGATTTGGAGGAAGGAGGAAAATAGGAATATGAATTAGAACCAGAATGATACAACTTGCTGTTGCCAATTTGCTATAGCCAACTCACTACAGCCAATTCGCCACGGCCCACTCGCTGTGGTCAACTTCCCCTGACCAACTCGCCAAGGGACAATTCGCCGTGGCCAACTGGCCACGGGACAACTGGCAGCAGGACAATTCAACAATTCAATTTAATTTATTAAAACAATTTTAAGGTTATTTTCATTTTTGTCATTCAGATTTCATTTTTGTCCTCCCTTTTGCATCCTTTCTTTAACGATTCGAATTCATTGATGTTAGTGTAATTCTTGCTCCACTGCGAGTTGTCCCATAGCAAGTTGGGCGTGGCGAGTGGTCGTAGGCCCAATTAGAACCAGTGTTGGGTTTGTGTTTTGCGTGCTGAAATGCAGATCCTGTGCAGTTCCTGTTCACCTTTCTGCTGTTTCTATGAAGAATATGTTTCTTAAGAAACTCTTGAATTACAAATAAGTTTGAATGGAATAAGACAATTTGGTGCAGAGGTGAAAGGCCTCAGACTAGTAACAAAGAGATGGAATTCCAGTCCTGCTTTAGATATTAACAGAGTGATTTTTTTGTGACTTTCATAACACTCTCAGCCTTCAGAAGAAGGCAACAGGAAACAACTTCTAAAATTATATTCAGGAAAACATCATGGGCTTGTCCAAACATTGGCCAACAGTCATCTTTGACTCAAAAAGACAAAAGTGAAATAAGTCCTATTTTTTCCCGTGGACAATGAATCTTTTAGCTAAAAAATATTCTTAATCACTCAGAAGCAAGAGTAGCAAAGGGTATATTGACCTGCTGAAGTGAGCATATTTGCCAGCAACAAGGAATTCCTTGTGATCATCTTCTTAAGCTTCTCCCTCCTGTTATGGAGATACCACCAAATTCTTCCATTGTTAGGGTATATGTGTGTGTTTGTAGAATGAGGTTTTTATTTATATATTTATTTATTTATTCATTCATTCATTAATATATGGCATTTCTATATTTTTCTACTCCCGAGGCTCTCAGGGGTAGGCAACCTTGGCTCTTTTATGACTCGTGGACTTCAACTTCCTGAATTCCTGAGCCAATGTTGCTTACCTCTGCTCTAGGCAGTTAACATATAGTTATGTTATGCCTAAATATTTAGTCAATGTCATCAGAATTAATATATATATCTCCTTAATGGTTGTAAAAATGCGAATCCCGGGCATATTTGTTCAATAAATGGATAATGGAACGCAAAAACGGCAGGTAGACCAGCAGACCAACAAGGAGAATAAAAAGGGAAAACCCCATGGCAGGACTCTTGTAATACCGGATCGGAAGGTGTACCCCGCAATGAGTAGGAAAGAGCGATTGGAGTGTATATCAGTAACAGCAGTACAGGGAGGAGGAGGCTGGACAAGGATGACACAGCAGAAAAATGCAAAATTGGAGTGTAATAAAGAGGGCGGGGCAACTAAGGCAGTCACAGGCAATCAGGAAGAGTGGCCCTGTCACGCGAACAATGAGCAAGCAGTTAGATCGGCAAGGGGATAAAAAGAACTTCCCCACCCCCTGAGCCTCACTCTGAGGATGCTGGCAGAGGACCAGCGAAAGCTAAGTTGTTTTTAACTTTGTATATAACTGTTTTTCTTGTTTTAAATATTGTTTTAACAATAAATAACTAGATTATACTCTTCCCGGAGATCGAAGATTGCATTATTGAAATATATATATATATATATTTAGAAATAAAAACAAAAATGCGACTCTTGGGGGTATTCATATTGTCAAAATAATGATCACCAAGAGAATATCTATCAAAAATAGAATTTAATCCACCAAGCTTTCGTCAGCGGACAACTGCGGCTAGGTTTGCCACGATCCGCCGGGAGCAGACTCTTTTTGGGACGGAATGGAGATGGAGTGGGGCTTGAGGAACCGGAAGGAAAACGGAATATAATAAAGTCTAATGAGGACGATGAGAACGAGGATGAATCCCCCTTTGAGGATACTACCAGGCACATTATGATAACCCGGTCGCAGTCGAGCAGAGGAAGGCACCCCCCTCTGACATTCTCAACACAAAGCTGCGGAGTGAAACAGCGACTGCAATTAAAGGGGAAGAGCCCCGTACGGAGTGAGAATGGAGAATTGGGGATGAGTGGGAATGGTGCTTACCGACAATGGACGGAACAACAAGGCACTGACAATGGGACAATGGCAGAAAACATCTTGAGTGTGCGCAAGGGAGAGAGCGTGGAAACGAACAGTAGATCATTTAGGAGAACTCACGGGAAGGAGGAGGGGAGGAGGAATAGCATGGGTGGTGACTATGAGCCTGCGTTACAACCCCGAGGGATAGATAAACAAGATCAAAGTGGTCTTGGGGCTTGCAGGGATATTGGAAGCAATTTAAATAATTACCCACCCCCGCTCCCTAAGGGAAGCCGTGTGTGGGATGGTGGGGGAGTTATGAGCAGGGGAGACAAAAAGATCCTGACCCCCAACTCTGAAACAGCTAACGGAGTAACGTATGACAGAATGCAAATTAGCAATGGAAAGAGGATAGATGCTGATGTGGGGCGTGCGCTTGAGACTCAACTCGATCAGCTGGGGCCGATGACACGCTCCAAGAGCCGGAAACAGGCATTAAACAACTGTATATAAGACTTCCCCCGGCGTTTGCCTTTTAACCCTGACGATGTCAAATGTATTTGACGAAAGCTTGGTGGATTAAATTCTATTTTTGATAGATATTCTCTTGGTGATCATTATTTTGACTATATATATATATATATATATATATATATATATATATATATAATATATATATATACACACACACATACACACATACATACAGACAGACAGACAGACAGAGACAGACAGACAGACAGACAGAGAAGATAGATAGATAGATAGATAGATAGATAGATGATAGATAGATAGATAGATAGAGTCTTTGGTTGTTTGGGTTTTCTCCCGCATAAAATTGGAAGTGTCTTGGCTAGCTATATTATATATATATATATATATATATAATATAGATATAATTATATATATATATATATATATATATGATACTTTAAACTTAGTACAGTAAGTCTTTAGATGGAAATCACTAGCAATTGTATTCTATGCTGTATTGCTATATTAGTACTACGGGATCGTGATCCTGGCAGATCTAGATGTGAAGAATAGCATAGGCTGTGTATCATAAAAAATTCCTGAAAAATGTTCTTTTAGTAATCATTGTACTTGGCGTGAAAACAAGTAGGCTGTCTTTATTAGCAAACTAACAAAATAATATCCAGCGTTGTTTTATAGTATAGTGTTGATCAATACTTATTATAGTACAGGAAAAACTGATGTCATAATAGAGTCCCTAGAACTCTGAATCCACGTAAGCATTTTTCCAGCCATTTGTCAATTCTTTCTAAACTAGTAAAGTTGAATACGCTAACTTGGATTCCAAGGTGTTTTTTTAAAAAAAAAATGTACTTTTTTTTTGGTC